AAATGAATTTGACAAGTTATGATTATGAGTATTCAAACTGCTATATATAACCTGAAGTACATGAAATTTTTATAATGAGAAAAATAATTGTTGTTGTAAAAAAAGAATTGATCTGGTATAAAAAGTACATGTTCTTTTTTTTTTTTACATGTCAGGTTAATGATACATCTATTCCATTAAAAAAATCCAAGTAGAAAATAAGTGCTTCAGCATTTTGAACAAGTAGCATCACCAGGAACTTGAGGTTATCAGACAAGGCTTCATGGTAGAGATGGAGTTTACTAGGACTCTGAATAAAGAGCAAAATTTGGTATTCTTAAATGTAGAAAATCAATTTCTCACTCATTTACTTATCAATTATGTGTAATTTGGGATATTAGCTACTGTAGTTGCTACTGCTTTGGGTTTCTTGGCATTTATTTTCCCTTGTTATATTTGAAAGAAGCCTGAGCAACAGAGAGAAGCAGGATTTGGGAGACAAATGACCATAGTACTAGAGCCCATATCTAAAGCTAGGGTATGAAAGAACTTCTAACATGGAGGAGACAACAGTATGCTTTGTTTTTCTTAAGTTAGTTTTAGTTGAATTTCAGTCATTTGCATCAATAAGAGTGCCAACTAATATAACAGGGTAACAGGGTTAGTTGTATTTAGCTTGGAATTTGAGAAGAATACCACTGTGAATTTTAGAAGAATACCACAGTGAAAAAAGCTACAAACCACTGAGTCTAATTTGATGGCCAATGACATTGACTGTTTTTTAAAATAGGAAATACAAATCAAAACTACAATGAAATGCCATCTTGCTGTAGTTAAGAAACAAGTCAGCATCTCCTGACATCAGCCATGCTGGAATCTGGAGGACCAACCAAGAAAGCAACGAACCAACCTGCCTGGTAAGCAGTGAGCTGTAGGCAGGCCGGGGAGAGAATAAGACAGTGTCTCCCATGAGCCTACCAGCACGCGGGCTGAGAATCAAATGTCCTATGTCCCCCCAACCCCTGCCCTACTAGACGGTTCCGAGGTCAGCCGGAGTTGATAGCAACTAAAGTACATTAAGCAACTAAATGCTTGCATTGTTTGGTTGATTATGCTGACCTTGGGCCAGAGCTCTGAGCATCTCTTGGGAGGATAACTGTATGCAATATAACAAATATGGAGGATTTTCTTCTGTCTTCTCTTTGAAGGCCAATATTATTTTCACTGTTTTGTTTTGCTCTGATTGTTTTGCTCTAGTCAATATTCTGTTGTGATTGGTTTTCTAGTGTTCTGTTTTTGGTTTGATTTTGCTATACCTGGTTGAATGGACAACTATTGTGATGATAACGAGATATGCTATGGTACCTATTGCTGTTATCCTAGTATCCTGCTCTGAAGTTCTGTACCAGTTTCACTGCATTGTCTTGATTGGCTTTGTTCTGTCTTGTATAGTTATATTTTACTATCTTTAAAATAAAGTAAAAAGCAAAAAAAAAAATGGTTATTCTTTCTTCCCTCTATCCCTCCTTTCTATCTGTCTCTGTCTCCCCCATACATCCATCACCACCACTGCCATTACCACATCAAACAAAGAAGAAGTAACATCAACAACAATAACAAAACAAATACTGGCAAGGATGTGTGTGGGGGGGAAGAACTCATAATTGTTGGTGCAAATGTAAATTGATACAGCCATTATATAGGAAAGCTCCTCAAAAGACTAAAAATAGATGTATCATGTGGTCTAGCCATTCCATTTCTGGGTGTATATCCAAAGAGCATGAAGTTAGCATACAAAAGAGACACTTGCTCACCCATGTTCACCACAGCATTATTCACAATAGATAAAATATGTTATCAACAGGTAAGTGGAAAAAGGTGTGGTATGTCTACACAATGGGGCATTATTCAGTCATAAGGGAAAAAATGGAGGATACTATGTTAAGTGAGATAAGCCAGACAGACAAATACTGTATATTCTCTCTCATGTGACAGCTAAAATAAGTTGACTTGAAAGCAGAGTGGTGATCACTAGAGTTTGGAAACGGTGTGTATTTAGTAAGTGTGTGTGGAAAAAGGGAGGTTGGATTTGACTAATGCATGTTACATGCTCGTGTGGAAATATTATGCTAAATTCCATTAATATGTACAATTACTATGTTTTAATAAAAGAGACTAACTTGAATAACAACTTGCAGGTTCTCATTAAGTGTATTAGTGGTAGATAATTCTCATCTTTGCCTCTAGGGAGAGTGGGGATAAACTAGTGCCTGCATTTTCCCTCTGGAGCTTGTTATTTTTTCTCATAACAGATGAATTATTTGTAAGCAAAAATTAAAGATAAAAATCAGTTCCTATCATCTTTCAGAAATGTGGTGAACATGTCCCTAGAGCTATGAGAGCCGGGAGTAATTCATCTATAATGCGCTTCCGGAAGGCAGAGCCCACCAATCCCCAAGTGTCAGGTCAGAGGGCCGATGCCTCTATGCTTTAGATGGAAGTTCTCACTGTAGCAGCGAGGACAAGAGAGCAAATCTGTGGATGACATGGCAAATTATTTCATTATAACTAATTAATAAGTAAGCACTCACTATACATCCACCATTGTTTTCAGTGCTTTTGATATAATGCCATAAACGCAAGGATTAAGTACTATTATCATCACTACTCTCATGTGTCAGATGAGAAAGCTGAGGCACAAAGTTGTTAAGCCAAGTCAGGCACAAAGCAGTGTGATCCTAGCACTAATCATGATACTACACTCACTTGGGTTTACGGTCATCTTACCCAAGCACCCTTTATCACACTAACAAGTCTCAAATATTCACTGACAAACTAAGGGTAGGGGTTCGAGGCAGGAGACAAAATTATTCAATCAGGAAAAAAGGGAAAACTATTTCTTCATGAATGCTTTCCTTCCTTAGTTTTAGTGGTGGCCACCTGAATTTTTCTTGTGCAACTTTAAATATGCTACTGAGAAGGTTTGTTATTATAACATTTTCAAAATTATGTACCTTTGTGATACTCAGAGAGTTTCATCCATTCATCCAGTTATTGGGGACAGACTGGTTTGCAGGCTGTCTCTGCCCTGGTACCTGTTTCTCTAACCCTTTCTTTGCTAACAATCTTGGTCATGTGTAGGTGTGATGAGATGATCCCCTGCTCTCAAGTGTGATGAACGAGTGGCCTCATTCTGGAAAATGAGATGTTAGCAGAAGCCCTCATAATGCTCTGTAAGACCCTGAATGGCCAGGCGCCTCCAGCATCTCTCTGAACCCATTTCTTAGTATTTGTAGCTGGCTCTCTCTGCTTTGGTTGCTCTGGCCTCCAGCTGGGTTTTGATTATCTTGAGCTTTTCCCATAATACTAGCTATTCTCTCTGTCTGGAATACTTTCTCCTAATAGCTCCCATCTCCTTACAACTGTTCAAATGTTACCAGCTTGTGAGATCCCCTGACCATTCTATTTTTAAATTAAATTAGATTTTATTTTAATTTTGCCTTTTTGAGATAGAGTTTCACTGTGCAGTTCAAGTTGGCCTTGAACTTACTTTGTAGCCCAAGCTGGCCTTGAACTTGCGGCAATCTTTCTGCCTCAGCCTCCTAAGTGCTGGGATTTTTAGGCATGTACCACCATGCTACCTTCCTCTATTTAAACATCCATCCAGGAGAAGGCATGGAAGCCCTGTGGTTTGTCGCATATCTTGGCCTATAAATCTCCTCCATCTGGCTGTTCAGAGCTGTATCATATATATACCAGTAATTGTAAGTGTTTTCCTGAGTTCTGTGAGTCATTCTAGAAAATTGAGTCCAGGGGGTGGCAGGAATTGCAGAGTTGTAGTTAGCCAAGTGGAAACTTGGGTAGTCTAGGCTTCATCTGTAGCTGACACATGAAGTGGCGGTTGGTTGTGTGAGATTGTGTTCTAAACCTGTGAAGTCTGATGCTAATTCTAGGAGTCAGTAAAACTGAGTCACATTGTTGGGAAAGATAGCACGGGAGGAAAAATGTCCCACTCATTTGATGTCAAGAAATAAAGGATCTGCTAGACCAGCCACAGCTGATGGACACATGGTGTTGGCAAACAGGAAATATGACAGAGCAGTGGACAGAGCAGGAACCTCTAATCCCCGCCTTCTGCTTCACTGCAGCAGTACTGCAGGTGGGCTCTGCTCTGTCACTAAGCTAAGTGACCAAACGGAATTTGGAGATGGGGATAGATCTGACACACAAGAATGTGTAAAGCAATGTAAAATAATGATAAACTTGCTAAACAGAAAATCCTTTAATTAGTTGTCTTTACTGCTAAAGTGAAAGTGAAAAGCATTAACATTGAGTGTTGATAGTTGACCAGATTTAGATTTTGGTCAGTCTGAACTTTAGTGGCTAGCTTCAAGGCCACTCCCAGAGGCGTAAATTACGCTGAGAAAATAGAAAGTATTTGTAAGCTCTCTGGTCACCAAGAAGGTAGGCCATTTGGGACAGAGGCAAAAACCAACTAGCAAATCCAGGGTGGTATAAGGTGGAGTTGTCTCATTTCATAGATTCAGTCTCATCTGCTTCTTCAAGATCCTGTACTAACTAAAATGGATTGTAAGAGTTGGAGATTGCAGGGTGCAAGAGGCATTTTCAGATTAACACTGATGACAATCACAGATGGTTATGTGGTGTGCAGACACAAGGTTATTCCTGAGGGGTCAGCCGGCCTGTGGATACAAGTCACTGTAAAGTATGTCCTGAGAAGTGGAACTGTTCAACTCTGTCTAAAAATTTCAAGTGGAAATTGCTCTATAAATTTTGAGGGAACACCCTGGATAAAGCAACCAATATGTTTCATATGCAAGCCATGTGGGACTTACTTTATGACAGCCAAGGTAGCCACCCCAGAATAGGTCTGTTACCCAGGTCATAGTAAATGGGCAAGAAGGAATCTCTTCCATGGGTACTGTCTTAGTTACTTTTTACTTATTGCTGAGACAAAATACCTGAAGCCCAAGTTGGGAAAGGAAAGATTTATTTCTTACAGTTTTTGGAGGTCCATACTTAGTTGGCTCCAAGGCAGGTGGGCATGGCTGGGCCGCAGTTCATGGTGGCTGCAAACAGCAAGCAGGAACCAGCAAAGAGCAAGACACACCTTCTTCCTGCCATTACATCACATCCTGGCTCCACCCCTATTGTGGGTGGAGCACTGACACCATCAATCCAAGCACTAGACAATGAACCATCACAAATGCACAATGCAAACTCATGTGGCCTGGGGGCCACAGACAGAAACCATGACAGGTACCTCATGTAATCTTACTGCTGCAAAACTGAACAGCGTGGTATAGTTTACTGGATTTGCTGTCTTAGCTACTCCTTAAATTTACTGATATCACAATCATTAAAATAATTCATAAGAAAACGGGGAGATGCAGAGGACAGGATCAAGGGCTGTGTCCCAGCAGGTTCCTAGAATCTTGGTTGTTATAGAGATGCGAGATGGTGGTATTGGAAAAAGTCACTGATACAGTGGTGTCAAGGTTGTGTAGATCGGGGGATACCTACTATCCTCAACCACTAAACATCTCTTTCTGCCTTCTTCATTTATCCAAGTTTGGAGGATTTGGGAAATGCCAGCCTAGAATCACTTGGAGCAAAAGTTAGGCAGATTAATCAAGATGAAGGCTGATAAAGGACAAGGGTATTCTATAAACAAATTATTATTATTGGAGTGGATAAAGGCCTGAGACAATTTATCATTAGGCCCTTTGAGTATATAATTCCAGTGTCTATTAACTTTGTAATATTTAAGTACTGGGGAAAATATTGGCCCAAAAGATGAAAAGAACACTGATAAAAATAAAACTAGGATGTGTTAATTGAATGCTACAGAAAATATTATTTGAACTACTGAAACTGAACTCAAGTGGTTGTACTAAATTTTATTTTACATAGGATGTAGATGCATCATTTTATCTTTGATAAAGATGTAGGAAGGGCCTTCCAAAAATCAGAATGCCTGAGGCCTACAGAAGTCTTTAAAAGTTTCTCTTTCTGAAGAAATGTCCAAGATATTATGAAATATTAATGGCAGCTAACACATATGAGCTCCAGAGACCTCTTTCTGAAAGTGGTCATACCAAGTTGAGATACCAAGTTAAAGATTACAGAGCTGGACAGATCAAGAAGAAGAGAATGGAAAGAAGAGATTGTAAGCAGAATCAATAATGCAAACAACTAGTTTAAACACTGAGGTCTTAATAGGCACAATGCTGACATTGTACCCATAGTATTAAATAAGTATTTGTGATAACCCTAAAGTAGATGCCATTGTCCTTCTAGTTTATAATGAGGAAAGTGAGGATTAGAAGGATTTTGAGCATTGTCTAAAATCACTGTTTACAAGTGGTGGGTCTAAGAGTGTTAACAGTCTAACCAGTTTGAGGGGATCTATTAGGTTGTAGACTCTGGTTATAGACCCTGGAAGAAATGAGTAAAACAGACAATTGCTGCCCATCATGTTGCTAACACTCTGATGATCTGATACAGAAGTGAACCTGAGGCAGGGATGCTTGAGGTATTCAGGGTAATAAAGGTTCTTCCATCCCCAAAAGAATCTTGATAATTTGCCGCCATAATTCCGTTCTGCCATTCTGGAATTATTGCAGTTATGTTGGTTTCCTGAATTTGCTTTAAGGATGTTTGTGTCAGACTTCAAAAAACATAGAGAATCTATTCTTATTACAAGTATTTCATCTGTTATAGGAGGAAATCAAATCCCAAGGGAATAAATTTACACACCACTGTAATCTGCATCCAAGAAAGCAGAATGAATACTTCTCTGCTGCAAATAGACTTAATCAGAGTAGACAAAGGAAGTGTCATTTAAAATTATGTTTTTTTTGTAAGAAATGTCATTGAAAGAAACGGACATGATATTGTACTAAGTGGTCATAAATCTATGTTCCAGGAATACAAAAGTGTACTAGATCTGTTTTATAGGAAGAGGAATACAAGGAGACAAGAATGGGAGTTAAGTGGGAGTTCTATTTAATAATGAAGTCCTTTAAAGTTCATTAGTACTGCAGACCAAGAAGCTAAGGTTTTATAACAGTGGACACTATTATTATTATTATATTTTCTTTTTGAGGCAGGGTCTCACTCTGCAGTTCAGGCTGGCCTTGAACTCACTATGTAGCCCAGGCTGGTCTCAATCTCACAGCTATCCTCCTGCCTCAACCTCCCAAGTACCAGAATTACAGATGTGTGCCAGCACACTCAGAGTAATTCTTTATGAATGTTGTTTGAATTATGTTTTCCTTTCTAGCTAGATTGTTGAACTAAAAAATCAGAAAAACTTTCTTTTATTTGTATAATAATACCAAAAATATCTCATAATCATGAGCTGATCACACTTACGTTATTTCTTTAAATATTACCAACCCAGTGAGACATAAACAATAACTGATACCATTATAGATAGAAAATAATGATTTAGGAGTGCACTATGGTTTTCCCAAACACAAGTATGATACTGGGACCTGAGCTTGGGAGTTCTTACTATAGATTCTGAGCTGGAGGTGGGGAGGGGTGATGAGAGAATGGCCATGGTGTCAGTCGGATCTGGGGTTATTTTCCAATGGTGTCCTTACAAATTACTTAATTGTAAAAATGTTTAGTTTTCCCTTCTGCGAACTCTGTGAAATGGGGCTATTGCCACTTCCCTCATAGCTTGGTGGTGAGGATTAAGTGAGACCTAGTATGCAGTGTATTTTCTGTGAAGGTTTGTTGGTAGTATTAATGAAGAATAAAAGAGAAAATAAAAGCAATGACTTGGAGATGCCCTCTCATTTGGATGGAATCTGTAGACTGAAACAGTAGTTTTCACCTAGCCCGTTGAGAAGAGGAGGGGATGGAAAAGTCTGGGAACAGTTTTGATTGTCATAACTGGAGAACTGCCACTGCTGTCTGGTTATAGAGGCTGAGGATGAGTCTAACCATCCTATGTTACACAGGGCAGACCCCCAACACAGAACTTCTGGTCCAAATGCCAACAAGACGAGGTAGAGAAACTCTGCATTAAGAGGATCACTGAATACATTTCATTAATTTTTGGGGTGTACGTTTTTAAAGAGTAAACATCACTTTTCCAACCACAGAATTTGAGAATAAAGAAGCAATATATTTTTGTCAGTTTAGGGTACAAAATCAGGAAATGACAAAGCTTATGCTGGACATATGAATAGAATGATAATTTGGAGTTTCTAACTTGTAAGAAAATTTGTCGGTTTTTGAAAACTTCTTTGTGGTTTATAGGGGGCAGTGGGACCGTTTTCAACATGGACAATTTAATGATTTAATTAAAACATTTTAGTATGATGGCACAGTTTCAATTCATCAGCAAATAATCTTAGGTGATTTTTTATCATTCACTGACTATTTCTCAACAATCACGGCTTTTAGGGACAACAATCAGACATGATGTGATGAAAAATTATAGCAATTTTTGTGTAAGTGGCAAAAGAATATAATTTAGATTTATTGGTTTAAAGAGCAGAATGCAGTGTTTTCTTGCTTAGAAATCGAGAGACTCAGTGCTTCTTATGAAGATCTTACTGCTCCTTAATTTGAATATTTCAAAACTAATTGTAGTATAAAAATTGAATCCCACACACCAATTCACTTAGAGTATTGATCATGATTAACTAATTTCTTTAGATTTATAATCTGAATAATTTATAAATGCATAACCCATTTCACGTGCGTGACTTTTTGTAAAGCAGGGCAGAAAAGCAATCTTTTGCCAACTTCTGCTTGTTTGAAGTAGAGTTTCACTTATGTATGTCAAAATCTGTTATCACAGGACCTAGAGATGCTAGATTATATAATGTTACAAATGCAGATACCGTTTATAAGGGAAGATCTTTTCAATGGAAAATTTTTAAAAAGACGTACTACTGCAGTTAAAGCCCAAGTGTTACTGCCACTGCCATACCCCCAGCACTGTTCCAGGAAGGCCCTGAACGTGTCAGCCGCACAGCCCTCGGTGGGTGGGGCATGGGCTTCTCCAGGCCTAGGGGGCCACTTGCTACATGGCTGCTGGTGAGAACTACGTGTGGCACCAAAAGAAGAGTGGCAGTGGGAGAAGGGAGGTGGTCCCATTCATTTATTCAGTATGTATTTATTTCTCCAGTTCAAAAAATTGTGGTAAAATATGTATAACTCAATGCTCTTTATTGGTCACATCCACAACAAAAATAGAGGGTATTATGAAAAATAAATAGAGAAACTAGGGTGTCTGAGGAGCTGGCTAGTAGATATAGTCTTGCTCAGTGTAAAAAACAAAAACTTCAACCCCAAACAAAATAAAGACCCTCCCTGCTAAACCGAGGGAGCTGATTAGCAATGCAATTCAGATATTAAATAGCCTTAATTCAGTGAGAGGTGGTAAGCTTTTAAAAGACAGGATCCTGTGACAAGTGTGGTTATTTCCACTCTTAACCTAAAAGGAGAAAGCAGAGCTGACAGGATTTTAAGAAGTCCAGACTGGCCTTAGTTGCTGAATGACTTAGTGAAGAAAGGTGGCTTTATGGAAGGTGAGAAGTGAGAGAGAATCCAGATCTGGGAGACAGTACATTTGGAAAGGTAAAAGCAAGCAAGAGGTAAGCAAAATGATGTGACAGGCTGGGGCGCACAGGGGGAGAACTGGGTGTTAAGGTCACAGGAAATGAGGGGTGCTACAAGGGGGCAGGAAGTGGGGGGTGGGGTGGGGCTCTGCACAGGATGTGACCTGGACCGGAAGTCAGGGGCATCCTCTGAGAAGGAAAGTGTAGGTTACATAAACCTGTGGAAAGCTTTTGTCCTATTTGGGGTTTTAGCACTCAAAGCTTCTCTTGAAAACTAACCAGGCCTAGAAGGTATTTACCGGGGACGTGAATAGAGAGGGGGAAATTGTCAGATGAGGAATTACTACAGGACAGCGTCTTGCCTGAGTTCTCTCTTGGGTGACATAAGATCTGCCTGGTATCCAAATCAGAAGAAAACAAGTCTGAGTTCCTCCCCTCCCTCCATCTCTTGGCCTGCCGTGAAGAAGTGATACATACGTGACTCTTAGTTGAGAGCCATCTTTGTGTTAATAAGGCTGAAGGTTGAGGAATGGAAAATAGTTAAGATG